GAGCCAGCCCTGTCCTCCTCACGTTCATAACGTGGAGGACAGTAGAGGATGAGCCGCGCTATATCGCATTTGGATATCAGTCACGGTGGTACGCTGCCGTCGCCCATGACCCAGTGGCATAAGTCGCTGGCCTGCAAGAGTGAAGTCGTAGGTTCAAATCCGGCAGGATTAGGCAGGTGATCGCTACTGACGAGTCGCACTAAGATGAAAGGGTCTTCTAGGGCTTTTCTTCATGTCTAGTGCTTGTCTGTCTGAGTGTAACTGCGACGGATCTTGGCAGCAACTGTCATCTGTTACGCCACTTCAATGAACTGGACGCTTTAATACTGGCAGCGATATGTTCGACAATAAACTTAGTGATGTAGTTACTGGGTTAACAAAGTGCTCAACTGAAAATGCCGCAGCCAGCCAAATATACTTGGCTGAAACACACTGAAAATGTGCATCCCCAGTTATACATATAAGTATGTGATTGTGGGGCCAGTCCCCATACACGATGGACGACACTACTATCAACGGCTCACAGTGCGTTGCCGTAATTTTTCAGGTACCAGCTTGTAACTTGCATCTTAGAGCCCCAGGCTGCACACATGTTGCACGATCCATGAGTGGTGTTTCTCTCTTGATCATTCCGAAATTTCTTGTCTGGAAACCATAGAACATGTCGGATTCTTGACTTACGTATGTCGGATCCCTTTTCAAATATTTCATATTCATGCTAGGGTATGTTAACGTCAGACTTTCTGCGTTCCAGCACCACCCTTGGGGTGTCCGCAATTTAAAATATTCCTTCACACATCAATTTCACTGAAAAATTAACGTTTTATAGAAAACGATTTGATGACAAGCCGTCCTGCTTGCATTAGGGATATAGCTTTTATAGTCAGAAGACGAAATAACGCAAACTAATGTGTTCACTAGCCCTCTCGATAAAGTAGCATGATTTTTCATGAGAACAGCTTGTTGAATCACTAAAACCAACTTTTCCCTTTTTACTGTCATTAGTTACCTTTGTACGCCTCACTCTTGTCATTCAAGAGAATTTGTCAAGCCCTAGTCTTTTACCCATCGCAAATCATGTCTTCATTGTTTTCGTAGTGGTTTTTAAGCACATGTTGTGTGACTGGACGCGCAATCTAAATGTGGATAGGGATTCGCAATGAAATGTACTTTGGTCAATCCGATCACTAGGATGGTAGTTGATAAAACAGAAGGAAACTGGGTGTCGCCGGTCCCACAACACTGCACTCCACGAGGCATTTCGACCTTTTGTTTCGGTGACAAGATGAGTAACTGCCTTCTATATATTGCTAGACGAGGTTGCCTCTCTAGATGTCTTCCAGGTACCAGTGTCCTAGTGGTCGCGGGTCGTTTATGCAGATATTCTGGACACAAATTTGTTAACGATTGACAATCTAGGCAGGATCGAGATGCCACAATCAGGCAGAGACTAAGTGTTAATGAACAGAAAAATAAGAAACATATATCAGTCACGTTGTGTCAATGTTGTTGGATGTGTACTATGTTACATCTTGCATTTCCAATAAAATGCTTGCTGGTAATCAGGTGAAATGTGTCGTCATTCGCTCCTACATGGGCTACAAAGAACTCACGTGGATCCCAGGTTTGCACTGGAGTAGAAATTGCCCGATCTCCGGACCCTGAGGCGGCCACAGCTCGTACGTGGATGACGTAAAATGTGGACGGTTGTAATGTCCCAATACTGGCTTTGTACCAACCGGAGGTTGTGGAATCGATTTGGGCGGGAACCAAACGCCGGCTGATTGGCTGTGACTCAGATCCGTGGTTCTCAGACACTGCACTCGAAGGGGTGGTCCAATCGGATGATATGCGGTGCTGTTCTGACCGAATCCAGCCTCCCTAATTTGAGTAGACATAAAGAATGATATGGTAGCGATAGTATTTAAGTGTCCTGTTATTCCATACAATGCCCAAAGCGCATGTAAAAGTCTGCTGACTATTAGAGATACAAATCTATATCTTCTGTGGTCTGTTCCGAGTCAATACACCATACGAGAGTTATGAGCCTTACCAAGCAGTCAAGTAATCGTGTGGACCTGCTGTGATGGTATGTTTGCAAATCTTACTTGGCCGCCTTTCCAATGGGCAATCTGTAGTCTCTTAGGCAAGTTGAGCAGGCTGCCTTAAGTGTCTGCGGTACCATTCAAAAAATTGTGGATTGACAATAAAATGCCAACATTAGCGGTTACCAAGCTTCACTTTGTGAAGCGGATCTCAATCGGACCACAGGCTGGGTACTACAAGTGAATGGCACTCCGTGATTTATCGGGCGACCCAATTCGGTTGGGCTGGGACTAAGGGCCTGACCGATGTGAGTTGAAGTGTAGTCAGGACATGTGATGCACGATCGAACGGATCACTTGGTCAGTGTGAGTGAGGTACGTAGTGTGCTGGGCCAACAAAGTGACCAGTGAGATTGAGATTGAGATTACAGTGAGAGATTACGATGAGACGTCAGGCCATATAGTATCAGCAACCCGATGGAATCGAAACAGGGGCTTGACAAGCGAGACAGACGCGGCCATGTACGAAGAACGAGTTAAGTGTGGTTTGGTTTACAGTCAAAATAGGTGACGCGGATGCGGTTAACTGTGCAGAATTACTTTGCCTAGATTGGAGTAGGTGAGGGGAATACCTTAACAACAATAACGCGATTATGTTTTGGCGCACGCCGCAACTCTGACATTAATGTGGCTTGAACCCATAATCCCTCCGTTTCGTTCCCTGCTTAATTGGGTATGATGGTTCGGTTTCGAAACCGATAGTAAGATTCCACATCAGCTTGGTTCCGATCTATTTAGATGAATTACCGCTTGCGCGAAAGTCACAGGTAATGCAACTCGGTTCTAGTCCACGAAAAGTGGCATCCACTTAGACAATACAGAACATCCATATAAACCTATATGAGCAGTGACTCAGCGAAGAGCAGACTCCCTATCCCGGTGAGAATTCAACTATATTGAGGCTAAGTGTAACTGTGCACGGATTAAATACCGCGACGTTAAATAGTTGAAAAGGAAGGCAATCATCTAAGTACGGGGTTCTCCTGGCATTCGGTTCAAATCCGTTTCGCATCCACTTTATAATCCTGAAAGTAGAACAGCTTTCAAATATGCATCGAGCAACATATTCTTCTGATTACATACAGATACACCGATAGCTTTTTTCTCACATGGAAGAATAGAATGCACGCCTATGTTCTACTTTCCATCTTGCACATTCATATGGAACATAGTCAGGTCGTCAGCGGATTTGTCTTGATTCCATTTCATGGGCGTATATGAGATGTACGGGATAGGTGCCTCGCAGACGGATAGCTGTGGATTTCTTCATACTGTTTCCTGATAACCTTGTCCTGAATGATGTGCCGTCGCCCGTGGATATTAATTCTCAGCTACATTGGAATCAAATCACCCTACTTCACAACAACGATTTGTTTTTGACCATTCATTAGTATACCCAGTTTCCCAGACAAAGAACTCCGGAGTACGGTGACACCAGTGGGTGGATAGTGGCTGACCCTGAGTTTTCTGATTTTTAGTTGCTTAGATCAATTAAGGCTGGGCGATATAACGCCATCATCAGTCAAACCATAGTGTAACTATGGTTGGCTTGCTCGCGCCATGATCAGTGTTTCCCTGGGTTTTTCTTAAATCCATCACTGTTAACTGGAAAGTAATCATTAATAGTGGCTCTACACTCCAGTATAATTGACAGTCTAGTAAGGAGAGACCAACCTCTCTCTCCCTGGCTCAAAGCTTGCACGGAGTTCAGAAAAACACTTAGCTGATGTATTAGCCAGTTGGCCATATTTAAGGCCATAGCTCTTATCATCCGTAAATTTCCTCCGTCTCTGATTTTTGGTGATCTAATTTGGTCTGGGTCTATAGGGAATGTTAGTGAATTTCCAATGCTGAGGATTTCAGCGGCTTGGGATTTGTATGGTGAAATGTAGGCACAGAGATCAATGGAGCTTTGTCTATGTAAGTATAGCTGGTATCAATTATTACGTAGTGTAGTTGTGCTTCCTCGTTTAATATCTGTTGATTTACGAAACCTATTATCATATAAAAGAGAATTCAAATGTTACACTGGGAGATAACCTAGGGTGTCTGCTGAAAGTTTTGACATTCGAACACTCCACTGCACCTCATCCAGACTTACATCTTTATTTGAAGGGCGCCAAGTAAGTTCGAAGTACGCTATTCGTCCAGATATATCTGCTGTCGTTCGGTCTGAGTTGTCGGGGACAGACGAGTGCCACTGAACAGAGAGTTCTGTTGGACCCACCGCTTGCACAGTCAGGTTCGCAGGTAGTGGTGGTACTGAAATGTGCAATTCCATGTGAAATCAGGAATTCAAATTTGCTACCTCCATTGATGATGAGACCGTTTGTGGCAGGTTAACTGCTAATGAACAGTATACGAAGTGCTACTTAATTTGAAAATGGCTTTTTCAAAATCTGCTGGTCCCTGTGACCAAAGCTCTCATTCACGGCTACTAACCAAATGAGAATGCCATATTTCACGAAGTACTCAGTTCTGTTTAGTTCCAAGGAGTTCAACATAGGCTCATTGCAACCAAGTTACGTTTGAGTGGCCATGACTTATCTGGTTATGTTCCGAGCACCCCGGTGTATCAGCTCTGCACGTACTGCTGTGTAGATTCCTAGGAAAGCAACTGCTGCAGTTGAGATTGCACCAGTGGCTTTGTCATCGCGTACGCAATTGGGCTACTCAGTCGTTCAAAGGGGAACAATAATGTCAGTGGAACGCGTGATGTTAAAAAGGATTTTACTGCTCAAATGAGTTATGTGGTGAAATTATGTTCGTCTCCGATTGCCGTTAAGACTAGCTTACATATTTTTGGATGCAGATATCAATAGTGGACTTGAGAGCTAGGTGATAATCAGCTCGTTTGGTGTGGCAACTCATTCTATGTAGTCTTGAATAGAGATTCCAAAGCTTAGGTATTGCCGGTGCAGTAACTTTCCAAACCACACAACTTCCCTGATCATTTTGATGCAACGTTCCTTGGTAAGGCATTTGGCCATTTGTTTTGTATGGGATGTGCTAGTGAGACTGTGTGTGTATGCATGCTGCCCTAACCTTGCCTTCGATGACTGAAAGAATATGACATCGAAATACTTTTATGCAATCTGAACTTTACACCCCAGCACAATTTACTGACGAGGATTTTAATTTTCCTCAGACTTCGTTCTGAAATGAATCCTATCCAGTGAAGTATTGGTGAGTAAGTTGGTCAAAATTCGAAAACTACCGCTGCACGTGTCAGCCAACTTGGCAAAATGACGACAATTTTATCCTGTTTCCATAGAACAACACTACAGTAGTAGGTGACAATGCTTTTGTGCCAATTGCTTCCACATAAGCTTACCGAACTTTTTGGTCCGACAGAAAACCGCATTTCTGACTCCAGGGCCGGCTTGTGATACTGTGGCAATTGCTATAATGTACAACTGATCCGGTTTGAGGCCAGATATCACAATAGTGTTAAGATGTGCCCCGATGCTTTTAGTATTTACGCTCTCGGAAGTGAGCGATTCCAGTGACGCTGTCCAATGCAGCAAACTGCTGTTCATTGCGGTTGTGGCGGTGGCTGCACCGGTAGACATGGGAGCGTATTGAATTTGGTAGTGCTGTAACAATCTGGAGTTTTGTTCCAAATTGTCCGGTGGCTTCCATTTGAGTTCAATCTCGGTGGATGATGTTGCTGCTGCAGTTAAGTTACTGGGAGCTGGCAAGACTGCAGAGAGAAACAGAAAAGTAGGCATTTAGTTGCATTGATGGGAAGGGTAGGTGGAGTTTAAATATCGGAAAGTAGTAAATATGTGTACATATTTTAACCATTATGTTCACCATGATACCCTCATCACGCGTCACATGAATGAAGGTTTGTTCATATTTTGCTTCAAAACCGCCATTTTTAGTGTTTTACCCATTCAACAAAACAGTTTGGAACATATAGGCCGGCCATTGCACGTGGTGAAATTCAGGTTTCCCGTACCTCCGGGTTCAATGCAGGAGATGAGAAAACCCCATATGCTTGCATACAGTAGGCGACACACTCAAACACATATGGTAGACACTGCACATCTTCTGTTGCCATACCAATCGACATAAGCACGTTGACAGTAGAGCGTCGATACTTTAGTAATTAATGTACCGTGTGAAACTGTATCTATGGTCACAGTGAGAATACGTCGTGCAATGTCAAGCAAAACATTTTGAACCACATATAATGCGTTCCAAAACAGTCAGTAAGCTATGATAACGCTTTTGCCGCATTACTACTTATGATACTGAAAATACGCACCGAAGCCTACTCCTGAGTGAACGTCGGCCGTGCCAGCGAAGCCTGGCAAGGAAAATTGGTGCCATTTTCTTCCAACAGTTTTGCAGCGACATTTTTCTTTCCCCGTCTGAGGGATCAATGTCACCACGGCATAAAAGTAGGAAAAGTTTTATTGGATTCCAGATGTGGTCTGTTTCGGAAGCCGAATTGACTAAACATATGGCAAGTGTAACCCTGACCGCTTACTCTGCTCGTAGCACAATCCATCTCACTTGCACACAAGGCCAGGTGATGTACGAATTCATAAATGCAGTTCGCGCGTACCTAAGTCACTTTTACGTATGATGCAATATTGATGGCTTATAGGGCCAGAGGAATTCATACACCTGGATGTGATGTCACTTCCACTCAACTGGGTGTAAGTTGAAAAAATCCAGTAGACTATCCCTCTGAGACGAATAAGTTTCAGTCGTTTCGTTGTCTCTTTATCTGCAGCTGAAATACTCAACTGTACAGGAATGTTGTTAAACAGTGTGGTTACTAATTTTGTCTGAAAATTCAATACAGTGACATGCAACTTGCGTTAAACTCAAGTGCTCTGGTGGATGGAAGGAAATCCAAACAAAATTCGTTAGGCGTAAATGTCATTCGGATTGATTCATTCAGCGCAACATGAAGCTCAACACAGTATCAAATGTTGAGGAAGTATTGCCCAAGGAAGCTCTTTTTCGTCTGCTTCATTGCCAACGAGGATAGAATTGCTATGCTTGTAGCAAAGGAAATGATACGAGAGAGAAGAAACACTTCTCCAGTAGCCGAAGTGCGATGCATCTGCCATGAACCAACTAATTCTGTGTGCAACAAGGACAGATTGTGGGAGCGACCTCATTCGTCAAATTACATGCAGATGTAGTGCAACTTATGTCGGTCTGAAAGGTCGTCAACTTTCAGTAATATTAAAGAAAAGATCCCTAAATGCTTGGTAACCGGAGTTCTAGCAAGCTTAGTATTGTTCCACCTGGTTGGATGTCACAGTTTAGCTTATACAATGCGTTAATTGCGGTTCTCAGGTTTTCCATGAGCGATTCTACTTGTCAGTGTTTATTTACTCCTGGCACAGCAGGAGGTAATTCGATCCTGTCGTCGAGATTTTGCAAACTGCATTTGTTACTGTTGAAGAAGCGTCTGCATTTTCTCGAAAGGAATAGACATGTTTACCTGAACATCCGTCGCCAGAAAGTCTGTTGTGTCGCCGTTGACACTTTCACCCCACGATCGCAAGAACATGTCAAAGACGAGCTAAAAAGAGACTTGTATACATGAAATCACATTTGCTTATATAGTTTTGCAGGCAAAATGAAGGAAAGCTACTAAATTACACTTGAGCCAACCAGCCGAAGGAAATACATCAGAAGAAAAGGCGAATAAGCAAACGTGTACTCAAGAGCGAATCGCATATGTCCTTAAAAATAACATCACGGGACTCCAAGCCTAAAGCGAACAGCCATTTACAGTGACGGGCACTGGCCAATCAGAATGAAATGATACTTTTAAACAAATGTCACAAATTTCAATAAAGCAAGAAGAAACAACATTATAACAGAATTTACTGAATTCAGTAATTTCGCGTATTCTCTTCAGCTGTTTACATACAATGAGTGGAAAACAGTGCGATGTTAACAGCAAAAATTCAAAGCGGTCGAAGGTCTTTAGGCTCACGTGACCTGTTCCGAGGAAAACGCAATCCCTAGCCTCACCAGGGTAGGGCTAGCGTGGTCACGAAATCCGTTCGCTTGCATAAATCTGGCTTCAGCCGCCGAATTGCCGCCGCCTCCGCAAACTGTAGTAAACGGGAATTAACCTGTTTGCTAACTACCCTGAAATTGCCACGTGGGTTCTGGCATTCAGCGCAGTCAAGTATGTGGCGGGCAATAGAGCTAGTCGGTAGCTTCGGACCCTTAGCGATCATGTTTCGCGGAACATGCTCTGCAATCCTCGCTGACAGCCTTCTCTCAGTTCGGCCTATGTACTTACTACCGCAAGTACAATTAAAGAGGTAAATGCATGAGGCGGTAACTTGAGAGTCTGGTCTGTCCAGGTTGGATTTACAGAGCAACCTTCTGACTTGATGCAATACCACTAGCTCAGCCGCATGGTAACACTTCTTAATTGATTGACGTGAGCCTAAAGACCTTCGACCGCTTTGAATTTTTGCTGTTAACATCGCACTGTTTTCCACTCATTGTATGTAAACAGCTGAAGAGAATACGCGAAATTACTGAATTCAGTAAATTCTGTTATAATGTTGTTTCTTCTTGCTTTATTGAAATTCGTGAAGGGAAATGCCTGCATGAAATGTCACAAAGCAAATGGGAATAAGCAATGCAGACCTAAAAATAAAAACTAGTACAATGATTGTGTGACAACTAAGTATTTATTTAACGTAACCAAGTAGGAAAGTGATGAGGAAAAGCCAATGGAATGTGTTCTTGCAAACGGCACTGCTGAGAAGCACACGGAGATGAGCGTCCATTAACAATGACGTGTGTGTACCAATCGGGCTAGCACATTGGAGCGCTTAAACAACAATCAAGAACTAGAAAATAGGAAGTATAAATAATGGCTATTAAGCTTGTTCACCAAAAATGAATGTCTAACAGCTATTCTCTTAATAGATAACATACGACACGCAGATGGCTAAATAAATTGCGCATGAAGAGGAAGATCTTGAATGCTAACTCACGTCCGGGACGAACGATCACAGCCACGGGCTCGGAAGGTGGTCCCTCCCCTTTCCCATTTACTGCACTGACACGGATGAAGTAGGTTGCGTGTACGGTCAGATGCGAAAGTATGTACAGATGGGTAGGTCTATGTCGGTCACTCGTGACGTACATGCTGGTTAACTGCGAGGCCAAGGAGGGTGTTCTATTGGAATCCATATCCACAATACTGGTGTCCCAAAACGACAGTTCCAGATTTGGTCGATCTGTGTATAGGATACGATAAGCCTATAAGGACAAATGAAGTAAAAAACAAGATAGCAAATTGCAGTACTGCATTAGTTGAGAGAAAAGATAAACAACCCGGTCATTATAGTGGAATGCCATATATTTAAATACTTTGCAAGTTAGGCCCGAGTGGCAATAACAGTTCAGATGGGAATATTACAACTATATTTTGGGTGACTTTTACAAAGTGTGGATCGGTTGTTTTGTCTAAGACACATCACTTGATATCGAGTATATTTTTATTGAGGTTAGCAAAACTCTTTACGATGAACTGTACAATTTCCCACGCCTCTATATTTGTTGTGACTGTTGTTCTATCATGAACACTGTGCACACCCAACTGACAAACTCAGCTACATCCAATAATGTCACAGAGGACATTTTTTAAAAAGTTGACCCATTTTCGGAATACCGGATACTGAGCAAATGCAACGAGTAGAGTTGCCTCTGTGTACCTACATCTAATATTTTTCAAGCAAATAATATTATTATGTCGATTATTTTCGAAATCTCTATTTGGCAAAGTGCGTGTACAGGAGTTTCTTAAACTGCGGCACTGACTTTTGCTTCGATTATTTCTGCAGGCAGTTTGTTCCAAATATTCACTACCCACCGCTCGAAGTAGAGTTGGCGAGCGACCGGCTTCAAGTCCGGTACGACAAGTTTGTACCGGTGTCCTCGTGTGCTGCTGGGTGTACGCAGATGAAGCAGCGGTCTCAACATGGGGCAATCATCCAGTTGTAATATCCGGTGCGTCATGATGAGGTCAACCCTAATCTCAAGCACCGGTCTTCCCATGGTACACCTCGTAAACCGGGGCTGAGCGCTGTGGACACATGCTTTTACTGATCAATCCTTTGCACCTCGTTCCAGGTGAGCGGACAGTAGGCGGGTGAGCGGACAGTAGGCGGGTGAGCTGTACGCTAGCCTTGGTCTGATGATAGAAGAGAAGAGATGGGTGACAACCTCTTCGGAAGAAGTGCAGAAGCTGCGTTTGAGCGCTCACAGCATGAGCAGTCCGTGATGGTAAAGCTTGTTTGTGTTTTCAACGGATTTCAAAACGCAACGTGAGAGTAGGCCGAGATTTTTCAAGGATAGCGATGGGAATAACAGCTGGCCGGCCAGATTGTAGACTCGGCCATTACCACTCTTGCCCAGGACCATGAATACCGACTTGACCGGGTTGATCGGAATGTTGACCTTTGTTGACCACATGGAGAGGCGGTCGAGCTCAGGCTGAAGCAGATCATAGTCGTCGGGCGCCTCATTTACCCTCTATACCTTAATGTCATTTGTAAACAACGCGCAAGATAAATTGAACAGCTGAGACAAATCCTTAGTGGTTCAGGAACAACACAGGCACAAGGACTGTGCGCTGCGGGGCGCTACTGGTCGATGGATACCACTCGGTCAGGTGGTTGTCCACCTGCACCTTCCGCGTCCGACCGCTAATTAAGTCACTGACCCAAAAATGCAGTGGGCCACCAACACCGCACACGTTCAGTTCCGAAGGAAGATCTCATGGTTCACTTTGTCAAACGCTTTACTGAAATTGATTTAAATGACGTTAACCGAATTCCCTTGGTTTGGCTCCTGCAGTTGATCGTGCTTAGAGAGTAGCAGGTTTGTGATGAAGGACCGACCTTCCATGAAATCGTGCTGCGCGGGCATCAAGATAGTTTTGCACTCGATATGCTGCAGGAAACCAAGCTCCAATATCTTCTGCAGTCTCTTAGCCAAAACAAAGGTCAGACATATCCTCCAACAGTTGTCCATCTAGCTCGGATTGCCGCCTTTCCGAATCGGCTTCACTACTGAGCATTTCCATTGGCTGCGTAATGAACCGGCGGACAGCGACTAGTTGAATAGCTCAGTCCCCGAAGGCGAGCTGATGGCCGACAGCGAGCTGAGAACCAACGGATGGAGAGCATCAGACCCGGCAGCCTTGACTGTGAAAACTGGCGGGCAATTTCCGCACATCCTCAATCCTGCAATGCAGACTGTCAAGCTCGGTAGGGACGATTTGGGTCAAACTCCGTACGGGCGACTGGTTATCTGCAAAAATGTAAAAGCAGTGCGCCGCTAATGCGGAAGCACGCCCAGTGCAATAACTAGGGACTGTCCGTCCGAGCTCTCCAACACAGGCACGCCACTTGTCGGCTTCAGGCGTTGCTACAGGCATGCAAATATTCTCTTGGGAGCTGCTTTTGCTGCGGATGCAAGCCGCTCTTCGAAGTTTCGACGTCTGCTCATTTTCGCAATATCACGGGCATTCCTTTGCCTCTTGTAAGCCTCGTGAACTTAGGCAGAGCCAGATTGCACGAATTGATCCCATAGCCGGCGTCGACGTCGAGCCAGTTTGGCATACTCCTTTTCAAACTAGTATGGCTTGACTGGTCCAGCTTTCCGATATTTGAGAGTCACAAATCAGGCGCACAATTATTTTACTCCCTGTTATGACAGACCAACTGGTTACAACTGATGAATCCTGTGGTAACGACAAGTCCATCATGATGGCAGCTCGAGTGAGTCCATTAAATTCCACCTTCCAATATTTGAAGGCTGCCTCCAGCGGAGGAATAATAGCAGTGTCATCTCTAAGCTCGTCATGACCATCGCATGGTCACTAGCTGCCAGGGACTCTAGGACTTCAACTCCACGCATATGTTTTTCGCATCTGGTCGGCAACAGGTCCAGAGGTGTAGGAATCGAGCGCGAAATAACGCATGCCAGCTGTTTGATTTGTCGTGGGGCCCGATTTACGAACATCATCTCCACAAACCTCGTCTCATCTTCGCAGTCACCGGGGAGAAGCTCGACTTCGTGCCACCGTATTCGAAGAAGGTTGAAATCGCCCATGAGCAGCAATTGCGGACGACTCATGTGGTTGCGCACATGGGTAACCAGTCCAAGATTCGGCTAAGTGGACTGCGATACACAAACCCCAGGAGACATACGCCGCGTATCAGATGGACCAAACACTAAGGCTGTTCAGATAGGCCATCACCGCTTCTGTATATGCTCCCTAGCCTCCCGCACAAGAAAAACCGTATCTATAGCAACACATCGTGCGCATCCAACCAACAGACAATCATGGGTAATTGCAGAAGTACGGCATGTTACACCCAATCATAAACGGACTATTTACGCAAAATTAATGGACAGAAAGCACAACTGATTGACCGGAAAACAGACACTTAATTCTCCATCCCATTCTAAGTGCGCTATCATTGTTCACAAACTGGAAGTAGACTTGACGTGGACTAGTAGCCATCACATATGAAAGCGTTATGAAGTTCAATGTTGATGCATATGACTACCTGAACAACATTATCTCATATTAGTGCATAAATCATCAGCTATTGCAATCAGTCTCAGTTAAAAGCAGTAAACATAATTTTCTCATAGGCAGGGCTTGCCAGTATTTGCTCATGTAGGATACTTTTGGCTTATGTCCCACAACTGTTCGCGCTGGTACCGATTGTTGACCCAGTACATCAGTGTATCATGTACCGATGTAACCTTTTCATCTCTCCACCTTGGTAAGTTACGAGCGGTTATATGTCTTTGTTATAATTGTGGGAACGCCTCTGTTATGATTGCGTAACACCTGATAAGATAGTCACTGGCACGGTTGAGACACGCCTACGGTAACGGCTTGGAAAGCTGGCCAATCGAACGGATTTGCGCTGACCTGATGGCGTTAGCTTAGCCCGGGGTACGCGCTTGAGAGACGGAAATTGAGCGAGCATGAGAACGATCCTAGCCGCACTTATTCGGGTAGACACTGAGACCTCGGAACGGATGGACACGACAGGGGTTACGGTAGACGCGCGCTAGTGACTTAGACGAGAACGCTGCCCCGCTAACGACGCACACAAAAACACGTGACCCGCTGGACTCCCAAATAAAGCGAAGAGGAAGAAAGGCAAGTGGTCTTCTGAAGGCTCTTTTACGACCAACAAAGGGCAAATCACAGCCAATGCTATGGGTCATTAAGTTAGGGATAATAGCTACCACGACGGGGTGTTAGTTGGTAGAAGAACATTGTCAGTAGGTGCGCAGTTGGGCCGCGTCTCGGAGTGGCTGAACTCTGCTACGTTGTGAGGAGGAATAGGACCCCGCTTTCCACAGCCATTATTCCGAAGTTTCTGGCGCGTTTTGCAGGGATATGTGATAGGCCCGCAACAGCCTTTCTTCTCTTAACTGCATATGATACACGCATTTCATTCGCCATCAAATATCTCGGTGTCCAGTTGTTCTAAAATCTGTCTTGGTCCACGAACGTTTTTTGAAAGATTACACATGGTCAGAAGATAATCTTTTTATGCTCTCAGACATAAGAAGGTCACTACGCTGCAACTTTCAATGGTGGGATTTGTAACAACATGTATGCTACCCCACTGGGTGTACTCTTCCTCGATACACATCCCCAGTCTACTGCAAAAGATCGTGTTCTGATAGCGCGATTGATTGAATATACTACCAGATGTAGCAGCCAAACCAGAAGTTCCCTAGTCCATTGAATTATTCGAAAGTGTTTTGACCTCTGGATATATTTGGGTGTTGCTCTTCCCAACACAGGCACACCACGACCGCCGTTTCGTCTTGGCTTAGACTCGTCAGGTGGAGATGGCCTGAGCTTGGGTGGTACTCAGAGCTTAGTAGTTCATGGTTAACGCACTAGACACTATGCTACTGAGATCCGCGAGCAACGCTTGTCACAGCGGAAATTAATTCAAAGCTGAATTAAGGGAGCACGCTGTGTGGTCGTATTTTGAAGTCAGTTTGAAAATTTCTTCTTAGTCCCAAGTGATCATCTTCATAATGGTTGCTCAAAATTTGGCATTTTATTCTCCCGCACTTCATTGTATCATACATCACACTTACTTAGTTTGTCACTTTTCTTGTCGACCCAAAGTAAGTCACAAATACTTTATATATACGGCTTCATGACTGGCATTCGAACAGCTTCGTCAGTTTAATTTTTTACTTTGTGG